GAACACAGGACGAAAAGGACACACAAAGCATCAAGTTAGAAGGACGAATTTTTTTACAAAAAATCCGCATTCGATTTCACTGAAGAAATGTAATCTAAAACCAGTGAGCGGAGCAGTATAGTCGGACGGGCCGACCAAGTCTTGCTTTCGAAGTCTTGCATATTTTCCAAAATATTTTTTCTTGAAGTGAATTTTTACGCCATAAAATAAAAAATTGGTCACTTTAGGTTTTGGCTGATTTGACCCTCGGAAAATTGACCGATCATCATCTTAACAGCCGATGTAAGTATTTGATGAGATCAAAACAGGCATGCTTATTCTTAGGCCCGATCCTCTTCTCCATGTAAAATTTTACGATGTTCGGACCATAACTGCGGCCTCTGGAGCGACCAGAAAAACCGACAAAAATTTAGTATTTGGTCCATTTCATCCCCTAAATATTAACCGATCTTTTCCAAAAACAATAGGGGTCTTCATTGGCCAGAACCCATTCTACATGCAAAATTTCGTGAAGATTGGTCCATAACTGTGGCCTGTATCGTGTTTACAAATTATAATGGACAGACGGACGGACACACATGTTTAGATCGACTCAGCTAGTCGAGATATGACGATCGGTATACTTAAAGGTGGGTCTAGGACCAATATTTCGCTGCGTTACAAACTTTTGGGGCCGCACAAAGCTATAATACCCTGACAACATAGTTGTGTAGGGTATAAAAAATCATACAATAGTTACAAATCAAAATAGGAAACTATGCCATCGGGTAGAATAGGGTCGGTCACAACAAGTTTCTGGAATATCGGTTTATAAAAGAAAAACCCAAAATGTCATGAGAAGATTTTGTATCTATCGAAGATTCTCAGTAGTAGATCAACCAATTTAAAACCAATTATTAAGCCACCAATTTTGCTCATCCATTCAAATATATTCTGACAGTCGATTTAACATTTTTTTTTTTTCATTTTATTTTTGACCGCATTTCAATGTTGAAGACAATTTGCCAAATAAAGATAACAATTTGTTTAATTGTTATTTAGCTAGGCACGCACATTTAGATTTGACGGCAGAATTGTTTTGTCTTGAACATAAATTAAAATAAATTTACGAAACGGCTAACATTTTAATTAAGAAATAAACAATTTTGAAATTAAGAAGAATTCGGCTAGATAAACATAAAGTGAAGGGGGAAGATAAAATATTAAACAAAAATATTTTCTACAAGTAAAATATTTCATAAGTTCACTAGGAAGAGAATAGCTTTCAAGGGTCTCAAATACACCCCGAATCGTGGATCTATGAGTATGAGCTCGAATCAAAGCAGCAAACGACAGTGTGGATCTTCGAATTTATTTTATTGCATTATTTATAGTCAATTTGATATTGGGTCTATATTGACATTTATGTGAAGAGATATTTTAACCAATAAGATGATCCAACTGGAGCTATAAATCAATGGAAGATCATATCCGAAGGTTAGTTGCATAAATGGTACTCAACTCTATCCTCCTCCTTCTATACTCTGATCATAGTATGCCGTGAGATTCTCTACACATTTTTTAAGAGAAAAGTCCCAAAATATCTTAAATCTCTAAGGTATTATTAAATTCAAATGTGAAATACTTAAAAAAAATATTTACATTGCTCCTAAAAAGTTTCATATAAAAAATGCGGTCTCAGGTCCTATAAATTTTAAAAAGTTGAATTTTTTTTCTGTTGCAAATTGTACGATAAAAATTAATATCTTCCACAACTTCCAACTAACTTCTTGTGATAAAGTGAATATAACAACACTAAAATTAAATCATCAAAATAACAAAATTCCTATAACTTTATCTTATCAGAGGAGAGTTCGTACAACCCCGCGTCCGACTTCATCTATCTCTCTGACAAACAAAATAAATACCTTAGGCAGTTGGTCATTAGGCAAAAAATACAGATATTTTCCCTCTAAGTTAACTACTGAAGAGGTATAGGTAGGTTGGTTATTGTCCAAATAGGAAAGAAAGAGATGGCATGATCGATTCCCTATATTACTACTCTGAGATACGTATTCAAAAAAAAAGAGAGCATTTTCAGACGTAATACATTTAAAAATAAATAAATTATTTGTTGAGCTTACGTGCATAGATATTATTTTTTGTCGTTTGTTTAGATAAAAATCCAAATTAAATAAAAAATGGTTGATTGTATACAGTTAGTGTCAAAAGTGAGAAGAATATATTAATTTTTATAAACTATATAAATATATAATTTTATATATAAATATTGTAAAAGAAATTAAATTAAATTGAAAAAAATTTTTTTGTGTAAAAAAGGATAACATATTTTTTATAAAAAAAGGTTTCTGCAAAAAATATATAATCAAATATTTTTTATAAAAACAAAATAATTTTTTTTTAAATATAAATTCCACATAAGGTCAACGACATAGGTGAAAAATCAATTCTTTAACGGTAGTTTTTCTTTTTGTTGTCCCATTTTCGCGTGGAGATTAACTTGGGCATATATTTATTAGTTTTATAGTGTCATTTGTCGTAAGTGTGAACGCTGTTAGCTAAAACAATATCAACAATAAATATTAAATTCAAATAAAGTAATATCTTACTAAGAATTACATATATAAACATATATATATATATATAACAACAGAATCCCGTGGTAAATGCATTTAAATTTGATAATCTTGAGATGACAAACTCAAATAAAACAAAGTTTGTCTTCTATCTCCATCGACAAATTTTGTATCCGTCACGCACATGTTACATTCTTCCTCAATAAGTTGATTTAGAACCGGATTTACAGGCAAAAATTTCGCCCATAACTGCATAATGATTTACTAAAGGTCTTGGGGCCACACAAAGGTATAATACCCTGACAACATTGTTGTGCGGTGTATAAGAAGAATTAGCATTTTTGAAACATTCTGTTTTGAATTTAATTTTTTAGTACATGTACGTACGGTGTGTGAAAGTTAAAAAAATATATGTTCGACATTTTTTTTCACAAAAAACTTAAATGTCAATATAATCTGGAATAACCCATTATAGCTGTAAAAAATCCGCAATTTTATCTCCATATCTAAGTCGGGACCGATTTTCTCAAAAAATGGCATACATCACACTAGGCTCAATTCAGTACGTTATGCCAAATTTCGTGCAAATCGAAACATATATAGGGACTTTGGTGCACCATTAACTTAAAATCGGACGAAACTATATAAGGGAGCTATATCTAAATCTGCCCCGATTTTCACGAAACTTGGCAGACATCACTCTAGGCTCAATTCACTCTAGGCTCAATTCAGTACGTCATGCCGAATTTCGCGCAAATCGAAGTATATATAGGGACTCTGGTGCACCTTTTACATGAAATCGGGCGAAACTATATATGGGAGCTATATCTAAATCTGAAGCGATTTGCATGAAACTCGGCAGACATCACTCTAGGCTCAATTCAGTACGTTATGCCGAATTTTGTGCAAATCGAAAGATATATAGGGACTTTAATGCTCCATTTGCATGAAATCGGACGAAACTATATAAGGGAGCTATATCTAAATCTGGCCCGATTTCAAGAAATTTGGCAGACATCACTCTAGGCTCAATTCAGTACGTTATGCCAAATTTCGCGCAAATCGAAGAATATATAGGGACTTTGGTGCACAATTTACCTTAAATCGGGCGAAAATATATATGGGAGCTATATCTAAATCTGAACCGATCTTTCCCAATTTCAATAGGGTTCGTCCTTGGGCCAAATAAGTGACTTGTGCCAAATTTCATCCAAATCGGATTATAAATGCGACCTGTACTTTGTTTACAATTTAACATCAACAGACGGACAGACGGACGGGCGGACATGTATAAATCGACTCAGAAAGTGATTGTATGCATATTCTTAAAAGGAACTATGGGTCTATCTCGTTTCCTTTTGCCTGTTACAAACATATGCACAAAGACATAATACCCTGTACCACAGTGTGGTGAAGGGTATAATAATATATTTAAAAAACTATAAAAACATATTTAAAAAAATATTTTCCATTAAAAAAATATAAAATATATTTTATTAAAAAATAATATATATATATATATATATATATATATTTCATTTTTAATATGTTTTTTAAATTTTTAATCCAAAACAAGCAAAAAAAGTATCACACAGTTGTGCCTCAGCTTATGGTATGCGGAAGTTTAGTGTTGAGTTGGACCACATTTTCTTAAATCTATAATTTTTTAAAAATTGCCTAATTGCCCTAAATCTATATTTTGTACAAATATTATGGCCTGTCGTTTTTAGATGACACAGGATTTACTATTCCCTTTATGTAAGGCACCATCTGTGGGGAGGTACCAGAAGCCTCATGTGTCCCATCTTCTGAGTATTTAGCTCGTTTCATATAAGATTTATAGCTTTTTACCCTTCGTGGGGGTAGGTACCCTTCGTGGGGTAGGTACTAAAAGGAGTGGATCGATAAGTACCATCTTCCAGCATCATAAAGGCTTGGTTAAAATATTAGGTTGTGCAAAGTTTGGTTCAAATCGGATAGTCCATTCGTATATTATTAATAAATTTATTTCGGGAAAATTTGTGGGGGTATAGACCGATGGGGGTCTCATCTTAGGACTTAAGATTTATAGTTGGTAACAATACGACGACGTGGGCATTAAATTCGATAGATATTTGATTCAAAAATTGTTAACGGTACCAGATGGAGAGGATCGATTTTTATACTTCTTTAAAAAAAAATATTTTCAAGACCTTTATTATTCACATAAAAAACTATTTTCCTAATTTTTTTTCTAACACTTTTGACACTAACTGTATTGTATATTTGACTACAAAATACCACATCTACTGATAAAAAAAAACGAAACGAAACAGAATTTCAGTAGCATTAACTTGGAATTAAAATATAAATTACATTTATTTAACACACAAATAACCAAGTGAAGAGATAAATAAATATTTTTTCTATTTCAGTTAAACTTACCCTGCAACATAGATCTGTAGGCGGTGTCTGTTATGGCAAAGACATGTGGTGGCACTTCGTGTCTTTTAATGCCCTTATACCGTTCCATAATTTTTTCCGTGTAAATTGGTAATTTCTTATAGGGATTAACAACAACGCAGAAAAGACCGGAATATGTCTGCAAAAAAATAAACAACAACATAGAAATAAGTATATAAATAGAGAACAAGAGAGATTAATATTTTATTACAAAAAAAAGAAATACCAGAAAAATGATTACAAATAAGCAAAAATAAAAAAGAGAATAGTGATAAGTAAAAATAAAAATAATAATAAAAATGTTGAAAGTATAAAAAATATTTATGCATGAATTATTTTTATATTAAAAATACATACATATATACTTATGTAGGGAAGTTGATTATTGTGTATCTGTATTGTATTAAATCATAAAAAATATATGCATACATTAAAGTTTAATAACCCACAACAAATTATGAACAAAATGTTATAATTATGTTTGTAACAAATTTGGAGGCATTAAACAATTTTAAACAAAGCATTACTATTTTGGAATATGTAGATATTTATGCTTCGTTTTTATACCCTACACAACTATGTTGTCAGGGTATTATAGCTTTGTGCAGCCCCAAAAGTTTGTAACACCGCGAAATATTGGTCCTAGACCCACCTTTAAGTATACCGATCGTCATATCTCGACTAGCTGAGTCGATCTAAACATGTGTGTCCGTCCGTCCGTCTGTCCATTATAATTTGTAAACACGATACAGGCCACAGTTATGGACCAATCTTCACGAAATTTTGCATGTAGGATGTTCTGGCCAAGGACCCCTATTGTTTTTGGGAAAGATCGGTTAATATTTAGGGGATGAAATGGACCAAATACTAATTTTTTTCCTTTTTTTTTTTTGCATGGAGAAGGGGATCGAGCCAAAGAATAAGCATGCCTGTTTTGATAAAGATCGGTCAATATTTATCGGGTCAAATGGACCCAGATTTTTGTGTGAAAAATGACAAAATTTGTATTCTATAGCGTATATATTTACCCCTAAAGGACATAGACCCGAGAAGTTGATATTATATCTAAGAGGAGTGGTTGACCTTTAAATTAATACCAATTATATCTTTGAATGTTCTCGGATGTGGGAGTTACACCTAAATATTTACTGGTATCTGGTATCTATACCGCTGATCGCTTTGAAATGTTCCATGTGGTTCCAGTTATGGTCAAGGACAACGCTTATAACTTTCGGTGATGATTTTTAAATGAAGTGGACCGAAAACTTAATTTTTTGTGTTATTTTCGAATCGATCTATAGACCACAAATGAAAGTCGTACATCACAACACAACCCACTGTGAAGGGAATCTGGACAATAGCTGTATTGAATACTCGTAATATTCGGAAAATATGTCAGTGTGAGGAAGAGGTGCTGTTTATCTCTAATCGGCCAAGGCGGTGCAAATATCACGAAAATTTGAGTTCCGTGGTAGTTGTGTAGGGTATCGAATGGTCGGCCCCGTCCGACTATACTGCTCCGCTCACTGGTTAGTTTTGAGTTTTTTTTATTTTCAATTTTAAATTCAAAAGAAAACAAATGTGTTTCAAACCAATCTATTCGCAGGGGAATTAGAGCATGTCACTTATTCTGCTGAAGTTTTACGATAGAAAAATTAAAAACAATTTTAAAGAACTTAAATAAATTTGTAATTTTGGAAGTCATGTGTCGGGCTTTTCAAGGGAATGATAAGAAAATAAATAAATAAGTTCTCTATTCTGTAAAATGCTTCTTTAAAATAGACTTTTCGAAGACTCTATTTAGATATTTGCATCAGAACAGATTATTTTCTATATAACATTTGGTACAATTTTTATTTTGTTTATTATTTTTTAACTTAATTTTGTTCAGTATTAGAGCCATTTTTCTAACTTCATAGTTGATCGTTAATATTTCAAATTTTCAAAATGATATCATTAATGGTTCTATATGTGTAAATACCTACATTTTGCATGTATATATGTATGTTTGCATTGAGGTCTAACCTTTTTTTTCGAAAAAAACAAAAACGATAACAAATAAAAGCTGATGGTGTCAACAAAACAAAAAAGCGAAACGAAGACCAACAAAATATTTTTCATAGCTGAATTGCTGAAGTTTTAAGAAATGGGCCTGATATCACGTATAATGAGTTTTATTTTGTTGCTTTTCGCGGAATGATGACTTCATTTTCAGTTTTGACTTCAAATGAATAATGACACAGTTTATAATGGGGAGACATAAATTGAAATTGAAAAAAATTATTTTTTTAAAATTTTTGTGGGACAAGGATAAATTTTGAAAATAAAACAGAGTTTGAAATATATTGTTTTTACCCTGAGCATTATGGCTATTCTAAACTCGATACTACTCTATACTCCGTGCTATTCTATACTATATACTCTCTTCTATACCCTGTATAGAATAGACACAGTATAGAATAGAGTGTAGAATACTACATTCTTTTCTATACTTTTTTCTATACTCTTATTTGTTGATATTTATAAAATTTGTTATTATTTATAATTTTTGTTCATATTTATAAATTATTTTACATTTATTTTTTAAATATTTTCTTATTTTTTTACTTAATTTTTTAATTAATATTAGAATTATTAGATTATGTTCACTAAATTATTTTTTTCACATTATTTGGTTATTTTATATTTGTTACATTATTATATATTATTAATTTGTCTTTATTTAAATTATTTATATTATTTTAATATATTTTGTGTTAATTTGTTATTTTTTTAAATATATTTTTTAAATATATTTATATATTTTATTATTTTTTAATATATTTACTTTTATGTAATTATTTTTAAAAATATTTTAATTAATTTTATTCCAAATAAAAAATTTTAATAGTTGTTATATATTATAATTTATTCTATCACCCCAAAACTATATGTCTGTCTGCCTTTTCGCATAAATTGTTTGAGGTTTTTTTAGGAATTGTACTTATTTTTATTTTAAATATTTTTAATTCCATTTATCAAATTTATTTTTTAATTTTTTTTTAGTTTATTTAATTTTTATTTTTAATTCATATTCTTTTAATTTTTATTGTATATTATATTTTTGGTTTTAATTTATTTTTGTTGATATGTATTTTTAAATATATATTTTTTTAATAATTAATCTTATTTTTTTAAAATATTATTTTTTTTTTTTTATTTTTTTTTTTTTTTCTTTTTTTATTTTTTATTATTTTTTTTTATTTTTTAATCCTTTTTTTATTTTTTTAATAATTTGTTTTATTTAATTTTTTAAAAATTTTTTTAATATTAATATTATATTTTTTAATAATTAATATTATATTTATATTTTAAATAATTTATATTATATATATATATATATGGGCAATATTGCCAATTTTTTAACATAGCTGAAGCGGAGGTTCACCCCTTTATAACTCGGGAACTATTTAAGAATATGAAAAAAAGTGAATAGTTTTGGGTTAATTGATCTGTCGTTACAAACTGTTCATGATATTGATTTCCAAACTTTATTTTGGTGGAAGCTGTGTCTACTTTAATGTAAAAAAATGTGTAAAAACAGGTTGAGGCAAACCAGTTTTTTTATGTTCTCTACCGATTTGTGACTAAGCCACTCTTTGCACGGCCTTCGTGTCAAAATAAAACTAGAAACCAACAAAATGGGGACTACACCCCCTTTGTATCATTTTTCAAAATTTTAACTGCATCTACCTTTAAATGATGCTGACATTTTGAAGCTCGATTTTGAGTGTTTTTTTAATTTTACTTCTAGCTTTAATACGCAAACGGGAATTTCTAAAAACCGATTATAAGATTATTTTAGTCGCGAATCTGCGTAATTTGATATGTATTTTGTGTATGTAGTATGCACAGCTTCAGAGTAATACTCATCCGAAAGTGCGAATTTTGTGCGATCAAATTTCTAAAAAACCTATTTTTCGGGCCAAATTTTTAGATCTGTCAACTGAATGATATGGGTAGCCGCGATCAATAAGGTTTTTTCCGTTTCGGATGATATAAAATCTTTTTCGTGAAAATCCATCTACTAGAACGGCGGGAACTGACCTTCCAAAAACACGAAATTTGGCAAAAAATGTTTTTGAAAATATCGCGGATTTATTTGCGTTTTCTGTGTATCATTTCCGCTTCAATAAATGACCTCATACGGATTTTGATCTTTTTCGAAAAGTGAACTTTAAAAACTTCAGCCGAAAGAGAGATGTACGCAATTTATCTCAAAAATAGATTGTGCTGGCACATCCATGGTTCTTAATGGACCACATTGAAATCAGTATAGATCGATGTATTTTTTTAGGGTGCACACCGAAATCGGATGCGCGTTAATGGCATATGGAGTTTTCGGAAATTATTCGCGTTTTACGGTTTTTTGGGTACTTCAATGTAACGTGCGGCACATCTCAGCCGTCATATAAAATTTCGCAAAATATATATGGATTGGAAGATAAACTTCAGTACTTCCTGGAAACCGCATGCGCATCAAATGATTTTGAGAATTACGCGATTTAGACGCAATTTATCTCAAAAATAGTGTGAGCTGGCACATCCATGGTTCTTAATGGACCACATTGAAATCAGTATAGATCGATGTATTTTTTTAGGGTGCACACCGAAATCGGATGCGCGTTAATGGCATATGGAGTTTTCGGAAATTATTCGCGTTTTACGGTTTTTTGGGTACTTCAATGTAACGTGCGGCACATCTCAGCCGTCATATAAAATTTCGCAAAATATATATGGATTGGAAGATAAACTTCAGTACTTCCTGGAAACCGCATGCGCATCAAATGATTTTGAGAATTACGCGATTTAGACGCAATTTATCTCAAAAATAGTGTGAGCTGGCACATCCATGGTTCTTAATGGACCACATTGAAATCGGTATAGATCGATGTATTTTTTTAGGGTGCACACCGAAATCGGATGCGCGTTAATGGCATATGGAGTTTTCGGAAATTATTCGCGTTTTACGATTTTTTGGGTACTTCAATGTAACGTGTGGCACATCTTACCCGTCAAATGAAATTTCGCAAAATATATATGGATTGGTAGATAAACTTCAGTACTTCCTGGAAACCGCATGCGCATCAAATGATTTTG